CTGCGTGGTCAGCACTGGACGAGTTGCAGGGCAATCGAAGGTCACCTTAATTTTCCTTCTGGAGGTGGAGCTCCTTGTGTGTGGGTGGGGCCCAACCTTGACCATCTTTACACTTTGCATGGAACACAGACCAAGGGGCTGGTGAAGTGGCATAGTGAAATGAACTTTGGCCTGGAGATCTCAAATCTAGGTTCAACCCTTGCAACTTTGAGCAAGTTACCCCACAAATCTGAACTTATGCCCAGTTGTGATAAAGATATAGTAAGTACACCTTCTAACCTAAGGAGTCACTGGGTAACTCAAATATGCTAAATCCTTATCTCCTTATTTGTCAGAGGTCATCAGTTGTTAGATGCACCAGTGATCTGATAGCAGATTTTGTATTTGTGTTGGGGGTGGGGTATGAGAAGCATGATGTTAATTGTCTACAACAATTATAAAATGCATTGATTTCATTATCATTAAAATGAAAACAATTGCTTCTTTGAATCACAGCACTATCGCATCTGTTGAAGTGCTCTGTTCAAGTGTTCTGAATATGGAAAACAATTGTACTATGAGCTCTGCTAATGGCACACTCAAATAGAAATTATCTGCATTAATGACTGAGTTGACTTTCCTCGTCTCTTGGTCATATCTGTTGAGGATTTGCTCTGATTATGATGATGACTGAAAATTTCAAACACACTTAAACGTGAGAGCAATGAATTCCCATGTACCCCATTATCCAGCTACAACAAAAGTCAGTACAGGGCCCCTCTTGTTTCATGTGTATCCCTACTCAGTCCCCCACCCCACTCCACAAACACCCCCCTCTCCCATGGATTATTTTCAAGCAAATCTAATATAATATCACTTGTAAATACTTTAAAGGCATATTGTCCAATAGACATTTACCTCTCACTGTCTTCTAATCAGAGATAAACTAATTTTTTCCTAGAGGTGTTTACAAGCTTAGTATTTCATTGTGTACTTTCCCTGAGAGGTCTAATTAACCCAGGTGAGAAACACACACCTCATTAAGCAGACCCCAGACCGACAGTAGTTGCTAAGGGTGGGAAGTTAGTCTGCAAGTCACTACTTGGGGAGTGGAAATGTCATTGGTTCCCACATAACTGAATATCTTCCAGTTTTAAAACCAGTTCTTAAGGCAGTAGGCAAGATCGGTAATGGATTTGGGTAAATAGTGGAGTTTTTTTTTTTTTGCTGTTGTTAGCTTGCCGATTTCTTAATTTTTATTTTGTCTCCATGGGTTTAATCATTATACGATATGGTTCTTTTTAAAAATAATTTTTATTTGTTTGCACTGGGTCTTAGTTGCAGCATGCATGTGAGATCTAGTTCCCCGACCAGAAATTGAACCCAGGCCCCCTGCATTGGGAGTGCAGACTCCTATCCACTGCACCACCAGGGAAGTCGCTATATGATATGGTTCTAATGAGAGTATGTTAGACCATTATAGACATTAAGTATTTTCAGCAGATTTTTAAATTCAGAGCATATTTTCTCACCATAATGCACTACAAAATATACAATAGAGATATGAATGTATACCTTGGAACTAAAAATAAAACTCCATGTATAGTTTTCCAAAATAATTTTGTTTCTGGGTATGTGCTAAATTTGTTGCGATTGTGTTTAACATTTTAAAAGTTCAGGTGCAGTAGATATTCCCTGAAAAGCTGGTTTTCTCTTCCTTTCTGACTAATAGGTTTCAGTTCATCAGTGCTAGTTATAAGACTTAAAGCCACATATATACATTTAGATGAAGCTGTAGGTAATCACATTTATAGTGGCAATTAGTTTCAGGTAGTGGTTTAATCACTCTCTTAATCAAGAGCACAATGGCCGGGGTAAACTTAAAAGCATGGAAGTTGGAGGGCAGAGATGCTGAGGAAAGACTGCAGCATTGGAGAGGGTGGGCAGATTCCAGTTAACAAGTGCACATTTCAGAATTTCAAAATGCATTCTCTAAGCTGACTCCTCGGTTGTCCTGTGCTGGGGACATCTACCACTTGTTGGGTTTTACAGTGTTATAAACAGTGCTCCTTTGAGTTCTCTGCTTGCTATTCTGAAACATACTTGAGTTTTGCTCCCAAGAAAGAAATGATTTTCATTTCCAAAATCAGTCATTTTTGAGCATTAATATAGGAGATTCATTTGAATCCATGCCTTCAGAGGTGTAGGAGTCAATCAGGATCCTGCTCCAGTGAAAAAACTTGATTCTTCATTGAAACCCCAGCTTCCTTTAAAAGGCACCAAAGAGCACTGAATTAAAGGAATGCCATACAGCCTGTTCTTTATTCTTCTGACCACCCCAGGCCAAGGGGGAAAAAAGTTTTGTCTTTATTTTCACGAGTTACCACATGGTGTGGAACCTTCAGGGCAATTTCTGAAACTTCATCGATAAGTGCCAGAAAAATCCTCTTTAACACACACAGTTGGATGGAAGATGGTTTTGAGATGTTAATTTCCATTTATTGCATAAAAAGATATTTAATGCGTAAAGGACAGGTCTGTCTTCAATAAATCGCCAACATTTGAGAAACAGTAGGGAGTCTGAGGTCCAAAGCTCTAAAACCAATAAGTTAACAAATGTTTACGGAACACCTATTTTGCACAAATCTGCTGAAGAGGTTCAAAAGTCTGAGATAAACTCTCGCCCTTAAATCACCCACAGTCTAGTTGGGCAGACACAAACTCAGGGAACAAAGCAAGAGTTAAGTAGTAAAACTATACAAATACACAAGTAATGAAACAAGGCACTGTGTGGTTGGACTTAGAAAATAGTGTTTCAGGCAATATATTCTAGCGGTTTTGAATAGAGGGATCACAGTGATACGAAAAACCCTGGAAAATCTTCACAAAGAAGGTACACATTGGGCTGGAATTGAAAGCATAGGTAAGAATCAGATAACCTTAAAAGGAAGGGAAAAGCAAATAGCAAATAGTTTTGGAGAGTCAGGTTGTAAGAGTGGGAAGGGGCCAGATTGGTAAATGCCTTAACGGTAACGCCTGGCGGAGAGACTGAAGATGATTCTTGGGGATCCAAGGTCGACGGCAGTGTTTAAAACTAGACTATCAACGCGTAGGATTCCCTTTCCTTTTCTCCCTCCCCTCCTTCCGTCCTTTAGAAACAGAACCTGATTCGACAGGCATTCCCAGCCGCCAGGCACTGATGCAGCAGTTGAAGCGAGAAGTTGCCCAGAAGTTGTCTCTCCGGGGGTGGAGCCCAGGGAAAGTCGGAGGGAGTTGGGCCAGGTCAGTCAGACCTATCAGCAGGCTTATTCTGGCCTTTGTGAATTACGCTCAGCTGCCCGAATATGCCCTGGGGTTAAAGGAGGTTCCGCAGCGCGTGAAAGGCATTTTCCGGGCGCTCTCCCACTTCGAGTGTCTGAGATGGGAAACGCCGGCGGCAGCGCGCCCGCTGAGCATACAAAAAAGTGTTTTCTTACCATATGGTTAGTGTTTACAGGTTTCGTCTAGCTCCTGCTCCCCAGAAAAGGAAAATTAATAACGTTGAGGAAACGTCAGCAGTCACAGCGAGGGCTGAAAAAGGAAAGAGCGCAGAGGGTCTCCCAGAAAGACCCGGTTTCCGTGCAGACTGGTCTGCGGAATCTGCGCGAGCCTGCAGCCTCCCATCCCCTGGCGCCCTCGGCCCGCCGGGAGGTGGGGACGGGGAATCGGGCAGCCAGGCCCACCCGGCTGTCCTCCCCAGCAGCCAGCAGATGGCTCCCGGGCTCTCTCGCCCCCTCTCCAGACGCAGAGCTTCGGCGGTTCGGGAGGGAGGCTGCGAGGAGAGGCACCGTGCCCGCCGCAGCCCCGCGCCGCGTGCCTGCGGGCTGGGCGCCCCACGCCGGGGAACGTGAGCCTGGGCGCGGGAGGCCGGGTCTCGCGAGGTGAGGAGGAAACGCTGGAGGAGGAGAGCAGGAGGAGGAGGAGGAGGAAAAGCAGGAGGAGGAGCGCCGAAGCTGCCCCCGCCCCGGACAAAATTCCTGATTTTAGTATAAGACTATTACATAGGTTCTTTGAGAGTCATTATTCAGAGACCTGGCTAAGTGCCCCCTCATTCTGGAGATATGGATGAAATAAGGAACAATGCTGATAGCAGGTAGGAAGTGCATGTTCTTCCCATTTCACTGACTGCTATGAATAAGAGAGAAAAGAGATGAGAATACTATCAAAATTAATGGAATGCTATTTTCACGTCAGCAGACAGAATTTCATGGAGGTCTTGTAAACAGTTCCGAACCGTCTGAGTGCCGATGTTACTACAGATTGTTGAGTCTGTATGGCTTGTCATTTGAGGACAAGGCCCAGTTCACATTCATTTCTGCATGCCCACTACCTTTCACGGTGCCTCACTTGTAAAATTATCTTACTTGTTAATGCATAAACAAATCTGAGTAGGTAAAAGCAGACACTGAGATTTGGATTGTTATAAGAATTACATTTTTTTTCTCTCTTGATTTTCCCCCCTTCAAAAACAATAATAACCAAATTTACTAATTGATTTCATATGACAGACACTACTCTAAGTGCTTTGCATTCTAATTCATTGAATCCTCACAACAACCTTTAGAGGTTATACTATTACCTTTACATGAATGAGTAAACTGAGGCCCGGGGAGGTTAAGTGACTTGCTGGAAATACTACAGCCACTGAGTGACTGAGCTGTGATTTAAACTATAATGCAGCTCTGGATCTGGAGCTGTGATTATAATCATTCTACTATGCTACTGAAGGCACAAATGTGCTTAAAGAAGAATAACAAAACTGGCACCTCTCAAAAACTTTTTGGCAGTTTCAGTATCTAAGGAGCTTATTTTTATCTCTTGATTAATATAGCTTTTCACTGAGATCCACTTTATTGTTAAGCAACTAGGATTTCCATGCTTTTTAAAATAAATTTAAAGTAAATCTCTTTTTTATAGCACTCAACTCTGAAAACTTCAAATATCTCTAGATATGTGAGATAGGTTCTTCCTTTTAAACATAATATTTTTTATTGGTGGGGCGGGGGGAGCGGCAAAATTCTATCTCCGCCCCCGCTTTCTTGCCTATTCCCATTTGCAAGCTGCATCTGCCTCTAAGAAATTGAGGGGTTCAGGGTAGGGTGGGGAGCTGTAAATAAGAGTTGGACCTGCAGCACCCCCGCACCTAGAAGGCCACCATGACCGAGGAGAGCTCCGAGGTGCCCAGGGAATTGATAGGTAAGAGTCGCGCGGAGGTTCCTCACCTCCACCTCGTCCTCATCTCCACCGCCCTTCCCACCTCTGCCCTCCCGTGCGTCCCGCGAAGTCCCGGCGCCCCTGGGGTCGGAGTGGTGTCGGGCAGGGTCCCTGGGGGGCGCCGGGAAGTTTGCTCCCATCTGACCGCTTGCAAAGCCGAGTCCCGAGAGGGCCGGCGCGGGGAGGAATCGGGAGCCCTGGGAGCGCACTCTGCTGCGCCGCTGGGACACCCCCCAGGCGCCTCCTTCCCCCAGGCGACCCGGGGGTCCAGGTTGGCGGAGGAAGGGGGCGGTCTGCCAGGGTCTGGGGAGTTGTGGAAGCGAGGAGAATCCTTTACAGCGCCCAGCCCAGTGTCCTCAACTCGGGAAGTCCGGGAAAGCCCAGCACCGGGACGGCTGGCGAGCGCACAGTGGGTCGCCTTCGGCACGTGCCAGGACCACCCTGTCCCCAGGAAATAACCGGCGGGAGGTGCCCCTGTGATGTACAGACTTGGGGGAGGGGGGCGCTCGTCCGGTATAATGACTGAGCCTAGCAAGGCGTGGCTTCGCCTAGCGAACTGGGAGCGAAAGGGTTACAGGACTGACGCAAACTCAGGCCAGGAAATTGAGGGTTAATGATAAAAACCTTATTTCAGTAATGATTAACCTACTGATTCTCTCCATCCCGGATCTCTTAGGGAGCCCGTGTGTGGTACCCTATGCAAGGTGACCCATTGTTTGAGTCCCTTGAGGGTTTTTTTGGGGGTGGTGGTGAATATTTTGTCTTGGGGTTTAACTTAATTAAGTGGATGGTTAAAATGGCAGAGCTCAAATGAGGTTTAGGGAGAAGAGTGTTGGGAAAACCAAGCGTTTAAGCGTGTGTGTGTGTGTAGCATGTTGTATTGTAAGAAGGTATGTGTTTCTGTGCGCGTGTTTTGAGCCCCAGTGACCTATATTCCTTACTATCCCATCCTTGGAACACTACGCAGCCTACAGCTCAGGAAGATGTTTAATCGGTGCTGACAAGAGTTCTAACCGCCCATTCATCTGCATCTGAGGAATTTGTTCATCTCTCACCTTTTAGCAGTAATAACTTTGGAGGAGTTTGTGTGTGCTCTTCCATTAGTGACTGTTAACTCAGCAGGTGAAACTAGATGTAAAGAAGCTGTTGCTAGGCTTGTATGGAAGATAGAAGCTTCTGCTTTTGTTGAATTAAAAAAACCTAACTACCAAATTTAGGGTATAAAGTCTACCCCCCCTTCCCCCCCCATCATGCCTCTTCTCTCCCCAACCCTGTAGAGTCCGCTGGGAGTGAGTGGTCCATCCAGTTCTGGGAGGCTGAGATCTTTCCAACACCGTTCCAGGAAGGAAACAAACACCCAGAACCTCTGAAGATGCCTCCAGAGGTCCTGAGAAAGAGAATTTAGGGGAGGGTTTGCTTCGCTGGCCAGGGGATAAGGATAACTAAAGAAGGTGGCAGAGTTTTTAATTAGTTGTCCTCGAGCCTGGTGGTGAAAAGTTTAGGTAATTACCCAGGAAAAAGGGCGATGAAGGATAGGATGGAAATAAGGTACCTGGTTTATATTGACGGTCCTCAAAATAAATCCTTTGGTATATTTTGAAAGTTGAATTTAACCCTTATCTAGAAATGGAATTTTGTGTTTATCGAGTCCTGCCCATCTCACATATCTTTCAAACAAAGGACAAATGTTTTTGTGATAGGCCCGATATGATTTTTCTGGGCCTTTAAATGGTCTAACTGGCCTGGGCTAGGGGAAATTCCTCCATCTGCTTTAGACTCTAATTTCAAGTGCTTGCAGGAGTTCTGCTCTCATCAGTTCAAAATGGCAACCATGTGAAAACCTCAATATAGTTCCTGAGGCTAATCCCCTAAGGCATTTAAAAAATGTGTTGTGTATCTTTCTGATTATTAAAGTAATACAGGCTTTTTATTAAAAAAATTTAAATGCAGAGAAGAATGAGAATACATGTCACCCATGTTACCACTCCAAGATAGCTACTTTTGACCTATGGGTATATAACTTTCCCATCTTTTTCTTTGTGTATATATTCTTAAATCACTTTCAGATGCTCATTTCCCACAGTTCTTTCTAGGGGAGGGACGAGTAGCCTGTACCCGTTTTGAGTTCTGATAAGATAGGAGCTGCCTAGAGAACTCCCTGTGTAATGAGCTCCCCGACCTATCCCCCACCCCCGCCAACATTCCACCTCATTGCTGTTCCCTGGACAAACTGTACTTTTTCTTGTTCCCATGCCCTTCTGTTTGCTGGCACTGCCCTATCCTCCCCTCCTTCATTCTTCTTATCTGAGTGGCTCTAAACTCTTTGTGGTGGGTTTCCAATAAGAATATTTTGATCACCCCTTAATAAGCATATATTTATTTGTTAAGCTGCATGCATACTTCATTTAGTGTGTGTAATCTAAAACATAAACTGAAATACATTGCAAATAGAAGTAGAAATTCTGTTTTCTTCCTGCACCCCAATGGATTGTATTGTACACTGTGCTTTGGAAACCAGTGGTCTATTTCCTACTCCTTCAAGCTTCAGCTCAAGGGTCCCCTCCTCCCTGAAACCTTCATGTATCTGCTTGTCCATGATCTCATGGTAGTGAGTGCAGATTCATCTAGTGACATCAATCCATCTAGTGGCTTACAATCATCCACTAGATGGTAAGCACTTGTGGAAGGCAGGGGTCATCTCTAGCCTGGCATCTAGTAGAGTAGTTGGCACACTAGGTATATTTGTTGAATATATGAATAAACCAAAATGATTATAATACACAATTCAGAGTGGTGGGGGTATAAAGGAGTTTGCTATGTTTTGAAGGAAGGTAGAATCTAACCAGCAGGAGAATAAGGAAAGTGCAGCCAAGGAAAGAGAATAATATATACAGGATCCTAGGGGTGTAAAGGATGGAGAGGATAGAGATAAGTGGGTGCGTGCTGAGAAGTTAAGCTGGAAAAGTGTGAAAGGCGTTGAGTGGCCTGCTGCAAGGTTTGGGTTCATCCAAAAATGACTGTGACTCATAGAGCAAGAGGGACACGATCAGATCTGTGGCTTTGGAAGGGTCGCTTTAGTTCTGGGGGAGGTGTGGTACAGGGGGCTGTTAGGTTGGAGGTGGTAGGCTTAGTCTCGGTGAGAGATTCTGAGGCCCTGAATGCAGGATGAAGCCCATGGGTCAGGAGCTGTTAGGAGGTGGTCCTAGGAGAGGAGGTGACTGGCTCCCTGAGAGAATGGAGTTGGAGATAAACCAGATTTCTAGCTTCATTAAGGGCCAGAGGAGGAGCAGGGAAAATAGTGACTTTGATTTGGGACCTGTTCAGTTTGGGGTCCTCACGGGAGTCCCAGAAGGGCCTTCCTGCTACCATCCAACTTTTCAAGTCTCCCCTTCTCTCTCAATTCTGCCTTTGACCATTCTTCAGGGATGCGGTGGTATGAAGGTTTTGAAAGGACAGATGGCCAGGAGCGCCCTGACTAAATTGTTTGGGCCGGTTCTGGTTCTTTGCCGTATTTCCCAACCTTCATGTCAAGGCACTCCTAGAAAATGATAATACGTATATGGCACTGTCATGAACACAGAGTCTGCTGGGGGCCAGAGGTAACCAGCCAAGGGATTTTATGAATTCCTGTTGTGCTTATGGTCTGCCTGCCTGCAATATAGTGCCTGCAATACAGTGCTCTATGCTACTGCCTGACCTTGCTTCTTTTTTTTTCTTTGTGTGTGCCTATCCTCTTTGCCCAGCAAGATTATATCATGCCTTGCATGGAGTGGTATTATATCATATGCTTTTATATTTGCCTCAGCATCTGAGCACACGGTCCAAGGCACAAAGTAGGCGTTCATCAAATACTTGGTGACCAATAACTATCAGGCTTGTTAAAACAAGCAACAAACAAAAAAAAAAGAAAAAGAAAACTAAAAAAAAACAATAAAAACAACCAAAAATGCTCCTTCAAATGCTGTCCTCCCCAATGCTTTTCTCTTATTAATAAAAGAATATAACAAAATTATTCCTTTCTTTCAGAAAGCATAAAGGATGTTATTGGCAGAAAGATAAAGATTGCATTGAAGAAGAAAGTAAAGTTGGAAGTGAAGGGAGACAAAGTTGAAAACAAAGTGCTGGTAAGTATTAATGTTTTTCTTAAAAAAAAAGTTTGGAAGTAAAAATGTTTTTTCCCCCTATTGTTTTGATTGCCTAATTTTCATGCAGCACTGGTTCTGTTTTATAATTTGTTCGAAAGTTCTGATGCCCATTTTGTCCTAGGTTAGTTGGAATATTTGTCCACTGAAAGTTAAAAGTAGGGTTAATTTACATTTTAGAGACTGAAGTTTTTAAAAATTGTCTTTCTTAATGTTGTAAAAAGTCACCCACATCTAGGTCATCTCCTAGAGACCGTTTTCAAGTTATTCAAAGTTGGATGTTAAAGGGAGCTTGCTTATTATCTTTGTTGTGGCTGATTATCTGATTTTATTTGTGAGGACTTGAGATGAATTTTTTACACTCCTCCTATGTCAGTTTAATTATTAAATTTTCTCAAATGTTATATCCGCAGCCATCTCTGGGTGATGGTCTGAGAAGGCGAAGAAAACATTTGTCTTTTTAAATTGGTTTCTGGTGTTTGGGAGGGAAATGCCAGCTCCTCCCTCTAGCTTGTGAGAAGAGTTGCTGGGGGGCTGAGGGACTGGCCCTTGTTGAGCACAGGATTGCTAGGGAGTTGTCAGTGCCTGAGTTGCACCTTTAGAGAGGTGAAAAGCCTTTTGTGGTGTTTTAGTGGTTTCTGTGTTGAAACTGTGGCAAACCTTAATTTAAGCTTAGGTAAATACACCTTGTTTGTGTTTTTGTTGGAGAAAATATTCGGTTTCATCTTTTTGTTTATGTTTTTACCATTAGAAAATTTTAAACGTATGCAAAAGTAGAGAACAGTATATTGAACTTTGTATACCTTTCATCCAGCTTCAACAGTTTTCAGCATTTTGACAATATTGTTTTATCTCATCACCGTTTCCCCCCCCTCACACTTCTGGAGTATTTTAAAATAAATCCCAAGCATATGTCATTAAAAGAGAATATATTTAATATTCTGTTTCTTCAGTTGAAGTTGCCACAGAGTTTGAAGTATCTTTCTGATACCATCTGTCTTGAGAATCTTTTAAAATATCTGCCTGCCTTCCCCTGTGGATGGAAGGATTGTGCTATTGATGGATGACTTCTGTTTCTCTGTGTACAAGTCAGGATGGCAGAGAAATTGAAGTGGAAATACTTGACTGAGTGACTTTTGCCCTGCAATGAAATGTGTTCACACAGACTGCATCATTAAGGTTATCAATAGCAGAAATGATTGGTGTCATCATTCTGCTTTATTTAGTTTTAATAAAGAGTAAATTTCCTTAAAGTATGTTTTACTTATTGTTGTTCAGCCATAGGGTAGAGGTATATTTTGGCAGTGGTAGTGCAGAGAAGAAATTTTGTTTCTGCCATTTGTTGTTTTATACGTTTACAGTAAATCTTCACAAGATGGATTCACCTTTATACAATTTAAATATCAAGTAGGTTTCCTGCAACAGTCTAACGTGGTATGTGGTGTTATTTGGTATGGACAATGTTCATCAAAGTAGCATTCATAAACCCATGCCATGAGTAAAATTTGCAAAGTTAAAACTGCAAAGACAGATTTACATGTCCAGTGTAATAAAGTTGGCACCATTAAAGAATAGTTATGATTGGTACTTACTGTTAAGATGTTGTCGGGTGGGGGGGGGGCTCTTAACGTCAGCAGGAGTTGATTAAGGTTGTAACCAAATTACAAATGTATTTGAATTTAAGCATTTATCTCCCCAACTCTGGAATCTGAGCAGTTTCTAGTGGCTTGGGGTAAACTTGTCTTGCCTGTTCCTTACTTGCAGGGGCAGGAATTGTTAATAGAAATATTCAGGGTTTGACAGGCTTCAGGTTTGAGCAGGATGGTCTATGAATTAACCTTCTTTTTAAGTCTTTGGTTTTGGAGTTTCTGAATTCAGAGAAATTCATTTACTTAAAACATTGGGAATTTCCTTATAATTTGCATTTCTGACTTTCTTTTGGCTGTCAGTTCAGTAAAATAGGGTATACCTGAATTGGCTTAAATCAGTATTTCTGTTCTGATTTTTATTTCTTGTTCCTTTTCCCCAAGTCCGCCCCCCCCCCCCCCCCCGCCGCTGCCCCACGCACTCTTAGTGTCCTTCCTTATAAAGCTGGGAGTGTGTTATATAGGACTTGGTTCCTTCTTTTCACACTTTGAGACTTTATGCTATTTCTAGCTTATCTTTTGTAGAGGGTTTATCTTCATCTTCCTTCTCATGGTCATAAGAGCTAATGTTTATTCAGCAGGCAGGCTCTGTTGGACACTTGATTATGTATTGCAGCATTCGCTCCGGCAGCAGCCCTCTGAAGTAGGCACTATTTACATCTGTATTTGCGGAAACTGAGATTTGGAGAGGCTAAAGGAACTTGTTTCAGGTCATCCAGCTAATGAATGACAGAGCCGGGAGTTGAATGAACCCAGATCTGTCTCACTCAGAGCCTGTCCACTTCCCCATTATGCTCAAAATAGAAAGAAAATATCCTTTGGCTTGTTCAGTGGTTGCAAACTTTCAGGAAGATTTGGACTTTAGAAGGATTAGTGCTCCCTTGTGTGGATTTGACTGATTGATAACATTGTACATTGCTTGGTTCCACACTTGTTGAGACTCTCCCATGTGCCAAATGTACAAGATGAACATAGATTCTGACTTCATGGGATTCAGAGCTCAGAGTCGAGTTCGGAGGTAAACATCTCTAGAGGCAGAGCTTTGAGATGTGCTATGAGCAAGATGATTGGGGGCACGTGGCAGGAACCCCTGACTCAGGCCTGAGGGTCAGGGAAGACTTCCAGAAAGAAGGCAAAGGTAAACTGACACCCAATGGATGAATAAGAGTTACTAAGGGAAGAGAGCAGAGACATGTTATAGACAAAGGAAACAGAATATGCCTGGAAGCCAGAGAGGGCTTAGCATGTTAGAGGCAAATACTAAGTACAGCTGGAGCAAGGGGTATGGGGTAGAGAATGGCTGGGCTTAAAGCTGATTCTTTTTCTTGCAATTGGGATCAGGTGAAAGTTGGGACTGGTTAAACAGGTCTCTTCCCACCACCTGTTTCTAATGAGCATCACATGAACTTTATCCTCCCCTCTTTTAGGGAGGCAGTAGGACTCAGCGGTTAAGGCTTTGGACCTTGAGTCATGCCTAGTTCACACTGCAGCCTAACCACTTTATAACGTTGTTCAGCCTCAATTCCTTTCTCTAATGAAACAGACCTTCTATTTGTATATGGTTTCTTTGTAGATTAACTGGGATGTATCTTAACACTGCTTAGCACAATGCCTAGCACATCATGAACACCCAACAAATGATAAAGCAAAAGGAACCGAAGGGCTGTGCATTCTGTTTTTTCAGTGGCACAGAAAATGCCTATTCTTTCAATGCCCAAGTATTCACTGCCTTTATTGAGGGATTGAGCTTAGTTCACTCTAAGGCCAATAATTACTTATAGTTTATGGTACCTTTTAAGCTGGATGGAGTGCAACTGATGAGATCCCAAATTCCTAAGGTATGCACTGGTCTAGTGAAATCAGAAATCGATGTTCGGGGGAAAACAAGTTTGACAGTCAAGTGGTAAACAAAGATAAACCAGCGTCTTTACTGCATGGCTTTGATTCAGAGCCTTTAGTACGCCTTTGTGTGTAGTAGATTTCTCAGAATGAGCGGAAGTATACTGTCTTTCTCAAACTTATATGGCCAGAGACCCTACTGACCATAGTTTGGGAAACTGGGATGGAACAGATCCAAGCTGGTGCCTTTGGGAACAGTTAAAGGGAACATGGAACAGACTAGAACAGGCTCTCTGTCACTGGAGTGTCCTCCTGGCAGACAGTTCTTTGGCCTGTACGTTTTTGGGATTTTTCTTATTTTTGGCTGTGCTGCTCGGCATGTGGGATCTTAGTTCCCCAACCAGGGATCGAACCCATGTCCCCTGCAGTGGGAGCATGGAGTCTTAACCACCGGACCACCAGGGAAGTCCCCGGTCTGTACTTTGTATCTAAGTGGTGGGCAGGTCTTCCGCAAGCCACAGATTGGCACCATGTCATCCTTTGCTGTACGGCCTTTCTCTGTTGTCTTTAGGGGATGTCATCAGGAAGAGATTCTGTGTTCCCTAGACTCTCAGTCCTTCCTCCCATTTGCTACTTGAATCTCCACCTAAGTTTTGTAGTACCTGAACTTTTTTTTTTTTTTTTTTTTTTTTTTGTGGTACGCGGGCCTCTCACTGTTGTGGCCTCTCCCGTGGCAGAGCACAGGCTCCGGACGCGCAGGCTCAGCAGCCATGGCTCATGGGCCCAGCTGCTCTGCGGCATGTGGGATCTTCCTGGACCGGGGCACAAACCCGTGTCCCCTGCATCAGCAGGCGGACTCTCAACCACTGCGCCACCACGGAAGCCCAGTACCTGGACTTTTTCAAGTGTAATTTAATTTACATATTTTTTCCCATTAAACTTTGCATTTTTAGGTAATTGTAGGTTTACCTGCAGTTATAAGAAGTAATGCAGAGAGATCCTCTGTACCCTTTATCCAGTCTCCTCTATCTTGCAAAATTGTGGGGCATGACCACAGTCAAGATGTTGACACTGATACTGGAAAATGCAGAACATTTCCATCACCATAGAGATCCCTCACATTGCCTTTCAGGGCCATACCCACACACCTGCCACTTCTCTGCTGGTAGCCCCTCATCTGTTCTCCACTTCCACAATTTTGTCGCTTCAAAAATGTTGGATAGTGTAATCACACAATATATGTGCCTTTTTGGGATTGGCTCTTTTCGCTTCTAATAATTCCCTGGACGTTCATCTAAGTTGTGTGTATCCATTGTTCCTTTGTAGTTGTTGTTTCTGAGGAGTATTCCATGGTATGGATGTACCACACTTTGTTCACCCACTGCTCACCCACTGACAGACTTGTAAGTTGTTTCCAGTTTGGGGCTCTTAGGAATAAAACCGATATAAACATTTGTTTATAGATTTTGGTGTGAAAATAAGTCTCCATTTCTCCCT